GAGGTCATTTTCAGTGATCCTTGTCAAATTGAAAACACTTTCAATGATGCTTGTCTCCCTATGCTCATAGATAAGTGAACATGGCAGGCTTTGCTTTCTGGACCCCAGAATTATAACGGACTTCCTGCCACCACTAAGAGCAAAAGGACACCTGGGGGCAGAGAAGAGGGTCCACCTGAACCCTGGCCCCAGGCCTGGTCATTTGTCTCCTCCTTGGTTATCTCCGTCGTGCGTGGAAATACTGCCAGAGGAGGAAGGAGGAGCTCACTGCTGGTAGCCTCCTTCTGTGACAGAACAGGATCGCCTGCTTCCAGAGGCCATTGTGGAAGATGCTCTTTCTCTTTCAGCTGCAGTAAGTGTCACAGGAATGACATGGGAGAGAAGGCCTCCAGTTACTTCAGTTGCTTTGCCAGTTGACTTGGGCTGTTCTGTACCATCCTTTACTGCCCTCGCTCACACCTCTGTTTGACCATCCATCCTTCAGGTGTTCAGGAAGGTATCTGCTTGCTGCCACTTGGTGGAGATCCTCCGCCGGGGGTCCTCCGCCTCGAGGGTGCTGACTCTTAGGTAGCAAAGGGGAAGGGTCCGTGCGCTCAGCAGGATGGGTGCTGGGCAGGCTCACCAGCACCCAGACCCTTGCCTCTGCCTTCCTGGAGGGGCTCATCTCCTGGCTTCGTTCATCATAATTGCTTTGCAAAGAGGAGGAAAAGGGAGTCACGGAGAGCTTAACAAAAGAAAGACTAGAAATCAAAGGCTATGACCTTACCTGAAAAATGATCAAGAAAAATTCTATGGTAGATTTTTTAACTTTCTTCCTCTCCTTAAAACATAGGTCACTAACTCTAATGTTACTTGTTTTCTAAATGGTGCTTCAGACTTTAAAGTAGTTAGAGGTTTCTTGTCTAATGGACACAATGTGCCCTTCCAGTGTCCACTCAAATCCAGGGTCTGCCCGTGCTTAGAGACAGCTTCCTGGGCTGAAATTAAATCTAGTTTCAGGGAAACGAAGATGAGATTTGAAGGTTACTTTTCGAATTAAATCATGGCTGCTGCTGCTGTTACAGAGTCTGATAGGAGGGCCCGTGTCTGTGGCAAAAGGAGGCCGGGGAGAGCCGAGGGAGATAGAATCAAGTGATACAGTAAGATGTTTTTTATTCTAACTTAAACAAAACTGGCTTGGAAAGCCTTTGCTTTGGAGCGTCAGATACTAGAAGAGGCCGAGGTGAGAAGGCCTTGTGAGGCAGTGGGGGCCTTGGCTGCAGCCCCCCGGCACACAGCCCGCACTGGCGCCCCTTCCTCAAGGGGTCTGTTTTCAGATTGGAGTTGGAGCAGCTTCAGGATTGATGGTCCCTTTCCAGGCAGGCCCGTCCCCACTTTGAAGCTCTGAGAGAGAGTTTATGGCAGGAATTATTTATGAGGCTTTCATGGAAGCCATAGTGTCAGGAAAGTTGAAAGAACTCAAACCTTTAAGGAAACCACCTTTTAAGGGTTGGTTGGTTTGCTTTTTTTTTTTTTTTTTTTCTTGAAGCACACCTTTAAACAAGCAAATAATAATTAAGCAAGAAAGAACACTTATACAAATTTAGGGGAAATGAGCGCTAGAGTAGCCATCTCCTCCCCTCCCTCCCCCATCCTCCTTTCTCCCGCCAGAGCAAAAGACGGCCTCACAGCTTCCACCAGACCAGTGCTCACAGCCTCCTGTCTCCGCGCCTGCCTGGGGGTCACTGAGCTCTCAGGCCGGGCTCTGCGGGGTCCGCCAGCCCACGCACACAGCCACGAGCGCAGGGAAGGGCTGCTTTTGGCAGCTGGGTGAGCACTTGGATTCCAGTACGTTTTGGTAATGTGAGGGAAGTCGAGGGAAATGATTTTTCCCAACTATGACTACTCAAATTGTGGGTGAGATTTTTCAGCTCTTGTAAGATGAAGGAATCAATGAAGCCATTGTGGAAGATCTTTTGGTACCTAAAGTAAAATGACTTCTCCTGGCACATATATCAAAGCAAAGACTTTGTTGTCTGCTGCTTGTTGTCTAATTTACAGGGATATTTAATTTTGTAAGGTATTTGTATATTTATACAGCTATAATTAATTGCACATTGATCTGGAAAAGCAAGGATGACCTAGCGTGTAGCACCTGCTGGTACTTGGCATTCCCTCGTCTGGGTTCCACTAGGGTTCTCCTGGACAGTATCAGGGCTTGTTCATTTCTTGTTTGACTTGGGTCCTTCATTTTACCTTTTGGTTCCCTTTTTAAAATGTGATTGTTAACCTGCTCTTTAAAAAGAAAGAGACTAATTTTGCTGCTGCTCTCAGAAGGTTTGCTGAATGTATTTAAATAGGACTCTAACTCGTGTGCACTGCAGCTGTCCACTGTGGCCAGTGATGATTCACCCAAGTGTGTGGCCAGACCATGACTGTGTAGCAGGAATGTATTGATTTGTGCTTCCTTAGTAAATGGAGATATCAGCTGAGAGATGATCTGCTGCTGTTGTGTTCCAAAAGGCCATTTATGAAACCTGTGTTCGAGCCCCATAAAATCTTAGGAAAGCCTCTAGTCATTTAAAGGAAGAAGTTAGAGTTGATACAAATTTCACATTAAAAATTCAGCCAAAACGGCTTGTGCTCAGACGGAATGTCCGAGTTGAGGTTGGTCTCTTGCCAAACCCTGGCCGTCGTGTGTTGTTTTCATGTCTTCAAGTTAATTTTTTTCATGCTGCGTATTCTGGCATCAGTTCACCTGAGGAATCCATCAGCCTTCTTGTGAGTCGTCTTAGACTTTGTGGCTCTGAAGTACTTGTCCGGTGAGACTTCAAGTCCCTTGTCACCATCCTCATGCACAAAACCCATGAAGCATAAGTGGCCTTTTTGAACCAAGACTTTGCAAACTGATCTCTCCCCAGGGAAGGAGTTGAGCACATTTAGCAACAATGTACATTATTAATTTCAGATTCTCATTTTCATGTTTTATTATGTAAATATTATCTGATGTTCAGAGCCTGAGTATACAGAATGTAAATATAGTTCTTGTATTTGTACTAATTCTGGTTCTTTTGCTGTATAGCCTTAGATGTGCAATGCAGACATTATCTAACTGTGTATGGTAACCTTGCATCACGGAACTATTAGTGAACGAGGTAAAAATAATAAAGGTACAACCAGTGCATCAGAAGGCTTTTGATGTGCGTTTATTCCTACACCCTTTGAAAGGTATTTACACAAAGATTTTTCTTGATTTGCAAAGACATTACTCTTCTGGGACAGATGTCACCGTGCTATGACCTCCATGTTCCTTTCTGATAATGCAAAGCAGCAGTTATTCTATAACTAATGTGATGCTGTTTCTTAGAAATACTTTCCTCCCGGTTAGGGAAGTGGCTATTTTAGGTGGAAGATTTGCCTTTTTTTTCTCCCAAAGCCTCTGTTTATATACCTGCCAGTGATTCTGTAGTGTTGTTGTAGGGTGGGAGATGGAGGGTTGAAATTTTCACTGTGTCAATTTAACAAGTTCCTGTTGTGAGCAGAGAATGAGAAGGGACCACTGTCCTGGGTATTTGGGGGAGAAATGGAAGCAGGGAAGGGAAGCAGCATTCAGGCAGAAAGCAGCAGTTTGTTCAGGGCGTATCCGAGGGCCCAGCTGTCCCCGGCAAGCGCTGGGTCCTGATGATTCAGCAGCGAACAGAGCAGGCCCTATACCCGGGGCCCTCCCACTCCAATGAGGGAAGACACTCGTTATACAAATTTAAAATGTTACAGAGCAAAGAAAAGCTGAATAAAAGATTAGAAGGGATGGGAAGAAAGCGTCTTTTTAGATTGTGTGGTCAGGGAAGGCCTCTTTTGGGAGATGACATTTGAGTAGACTCCTGAATGAAAGAATGGGTAAGCCACGCAAATCCCTGGGCAAAGAGGTCTCCACGCGGAGTAAGTAGGTACCTGAGGCAGCAGTGTCCTCAGAAGATTCCAAAATAGCAAGGAACCAAGGGCGGATTTTGAGAAGATAAGTCCCATGATCTTACTAGTGTTTTAAAAGACCATTCAGATGGCTGGGTGGAGAGCAGCCTGTGTGTGTAGAGATGGGGGACCCGTGGAGGAAAGGGGGCCAAACAGGAAGTTGTTGCCACAGCGTCCCGGGGGGAGGATGGAGGCTCGGACTAGCAGCAGTAGATTCGGGGAGGAAGGGCCAGATTCAGGACACATTTTACTGTTAGAACTCAGAGTCCGCCGAGGGACCACATGTCGAGAAAGGAGGATGGTAACTCCCGGGACGTGTGTCTGAGCAAACAGGACGGCCTTGTGGTTCCCTAGGGTGAAGGAGGCTGGAGGTTCTAGAAGAGCTGAGGGGTGGTTCTGAATAGAGGACTAGGTTGTGGCCGTGTTCACCTGCATGTGTGGTCCATGAGGCAGTCGCTTTCAGGGGGAGAGGTGGGGGCTGGAGACACATTTGGGAACTGACCCATGAAGGTGACAATAAAGGCAAGAGGTGGGGAGATCCGGGGAGCGAGTAGCTGTGAGAACCAAGGGCTCTGTGGCCTGGAGCAGTAGGAAGAGAGGACGACAGCAGAGGGACCAGGAGAAGTGGCTGTGAGGAGAGCGTGGTATTTGGCAGTGAAGTTAAGGAAGTGTTTGAAGATGGAGGAAGTGATAGCCGTGTCAAGAGCAGCTGACGGGTTAAAATAAGAACTGAGCAGTGACCGCAGGTTTTGGCAACAGGGAGGTCTAGGAGGTTTGAGGGAGCCAGTGAATGCCATCACTTTCTCCCGGTTTCAGAGCCAACTAATAAACAAAAGAATAAGGCAGATAGAAGATCGAAATGTCACCTTCGTTACTGTTAAAGCTATGATTAGAGAATGTGGCTTATGTCTGTGGGTAAATGAATTCCGTAATACCAAGCCTCAGAACTAGAGGGCCGGGAGCAGTGCATCTTGAACTTTAATGTGCGTAAGTTTCCCCTGTGGGTCATACTAAGTACAGATTCTGGCTGAGGAGGCCTCGGGTGGGGCCTGAGACCCTGCATTTCTCGTAAGCTTCCACGTGAACCAAGAGGTTCCCTGATGGCAGCCGAGGTCCCCAGAGAGAGGGAAGAAGTGGTCAGGCTGGCCATGCCAGGGGCTCCCACCAAACTCAGGCAGTTTCGTTTCTCTCCTGGCCCTCTATGAGGGGCTGGCGGAAGCAGGAATGTTCCAGTAACAGAGCTCACTTCACATGCGAGGAGACATCAGGAGTGCCTCTGCTCTGATGAGGTCGTCGGCGAGTAGAGCATCTTCACGAGTGGTGCGGAAGAAAGCATACCCAGAGTAGGTGCCAGGGAATGTGGGAGAAGAGGTTGAGTGAGTAATACGGGGGGTGGGGGGGTGGGCAAGGGGTCAGGGAGAGGTTTCTATTTTAAAGGAAGGCGATAGCCCAGCATGTGTGTCTGCTGATGGGGATGAATGCACTAGAAGGGAAAACCTGACGGTGGGACGAGACCAGAACAGAGAGTTTGCTGGTGTGATCCCCTGGAGGTGGCCGGCGGGCTTGGAGGGGCATGAGAGGGGAGTTCAGCCCCGGGTCCTGGGGGAGCAGTGCTGTTTATCTGCGGTACCAGGAGGCGACACCAAGTCGTAGGCAGCACCCAGGCAGAGAGCTAAGTGACAGGAGCCTTCGCGGGTCCTCCTGGTCATTGGTTTTTCCCTGAGACTCATTGGCCAACTCTAGGCCATGTCTTCCTGAACTGCACTGGACTTTTTGTTTGAACTGCATTAGTTCTTATAAAGCGGGTTGTCCCTTACATCTGGGCCTCATCCAGGGTCACATCGTCGCCATGGCTCTTGCAAAGCTGACAGTATAGAACATCAGGAGGTCCCGTGGAACAGTACATGTTTATTTAATGCATTACTTTTATATCTGATTTTTCTTGTCCAGTGGACAAGACTCCGCACTTCCACTGCAGGAGACGCGGATTCAATCACTGGTCGGGGAACTAAGATCGCGCATGTCGCGTGTGGCGTGGCCGAAAAAAAAGAGAAAAACTTCTGGTCTCTGCACAGTCTTAAATTTTTAGCTTTTCTGAGCACATCACACGCGGACACTCTGGCTTTAGAACATATGATCTCTGGGTTTTTTCAAAATCGCTCTTCCTACCCACTCTGCAAACAAGCCATTTGAGTTCAGTTGCAGGAATTATACAGGAAGTGAGTGTCAGAGCTGGGATTTTCAAATCTATCCCAACTAGTATGTTACTTACACACCCTCTTATGTAAGTCAAACAAAGGATTCAGCCTTGGGAGGTTTGCAGAGAAGGGTTGTTTTGTAGAATTCCTCCCCAGGCTTTGATTTGGGATTTGGGGAATTAGAGCAAGGCAAAAAAATTGTGAGGATGAATAGTAATGTGAGTTGACTTAAGCATTAAAAGCCAAGAATTTGAGGGTTTTCTAAAAACTAAAGGTCAGTATGAAGCTCTGGCCCCAGCCAGCCCTGGCTTTACCCCATTCATCTCTGGGGAGAGTTGCCTTTGTCCCAGCCCTGCTCTCCTTGAGCCAGTTTGCTGTAGCTTTCCAACCATGCTGGGAAGCAGTATATTTTGCTGGTTGTTAGCACTTTAACAAAGAAATGAGAAGGCCGTGGTTGTTAGCACTTTAACAAAGAAATGAGAAGGCCGTGTAGCATGTACCATTAGTAATAGAAGAAAGAATTATTGGCTGTTTGATTAGATATTTAAACATGTTTGCCTAAAATGATGCTTTGCAGTGGTAACTTGGGTGTGTCCAGATGTTTAGTCACATTGACTCAGCATAATTTCTCCTTTGCCAAATCTCAGACTAGAGCAATCAATTTGTTCCTGCAGCAAAATCTGATGGTAGGTTTTCTTTGTAACCAAGCCTAACAGAAAAAGGAAGTAGTTGCAGAAAAGTTGAAAGTTATGAGAGGTACAAAGTCTATCTTGAAGAAAGCAATTGTGTAAAGTTCTACCTGTAAAGTTATTACAAGTGCTGCTTGGTCTCCCAAACTAGTGATTGAAAGTTCATTTCAATTTACCTTTCCACTTAAAGCCAACTAAATGTCTCTAACATACAGATATACCCAATTTCTCTGTGAAAATATGTCTCTGTGAGTTTGCATAATTATGGCCTGCTAATCTGATGAGGAAAGAGTGCTGGGCTCGGCCCTAGTCGACTTGGGTTAAAGTTCAGTTCTGCCACTAATTAGCTGAGAAAGTCAACTTCCCTGAGCTGAGTTTCTTGTTTCAAATTAGATAATATTAATAATGGTATCTTAAATCGTACAGTACTTGAAATTCCCAAGGAACTTGCATAGGCATTAGCTTATTTTGATACGGGGAAGGAAGCAGGACGCACGGGAGGCGGTGCCCTGCAGTCAAGGAGCCTGCAGACTGTTAGCCCCTGGAGGATGGCAGGCGTCTGGGGAGGCGCTGCTCTGTTTGCCCTCTTTGAAGCTACTCTGCATTTTCTGATTCTGAGTCTCTCTCATTTGCTACAAGGCTGAAGTACGAAATCCAGTCTCTGAAAGAGAATGAAGATCTCTGGAATGATAAATGCATGATTAAATATAAGACACTTTATATTTTTTCTCTTAAAAAAAATTTAAGATTGTTTGAACTAGTAATTATAACATATATTATTGGGCTTACAATATACAGATAAAAAAAATACATGACAGTAATAGCAAAAAGGGACAGTGAGAAAATGGAGCTATATTGTAGTAAAGTTTCTATATTTACCAGAAATGTTCAATATTAAGCTGAAGTACATTGTAATACATTAAAGATGCATATTGTAATCCCTAGACAACCACTAAGAAAATAACTCAAGATTTAGTTAAAAAATCAACCTAGGGATTAAGGTAGTACACACATATACAAATTAACACAACAGAGCAGTAAGAAGAGAACAAAGGAACAAGGAAGACGTGAGACATAGAAAACATTGCAAAATGGCACCCATATATCCAACCATATCGACAGTATACGTTACACGTGAAATAGACTAAACACCCCAATCAAAATGCCACTACCATTGGCAAAGAAAATAAAAAGCATTCAGATTGGAAAGGAAGAAGTGAAATTGTGTTTACTCACAGATGACATGATTGCAGGTAACAAAGTCTCCAAACAGAAGATCAACATACATATATTAGATGTTTCTGTATACCAATAATGAACAATCTGAAAATGAAATTAGGAAGGTTCTATCCACAGTAAGACAAAGGTTGCTTTGGAATACATCTAATGAAAGAAGTGCAAAGCCTATAAGCTCAGACTACAAAACGTTGCTGAAGCGAAGATCTAAATCAGTGGAGATGGCAGTTCTCCCCAAAATCTATAGATTCAGCACCCTCCCTGTGAAACCCTAGGGGCATTTTGTGTAGAAATTAACAAACGGACTCTAAAATGTATATGGAAATGGCAAAGGACCTAGAATTAAGAATTAAGGTCATAAAAAACAAGAAAAGACAATAAATTGTCCTAGATCAGAGGAAACTAAAGAGACATGATGACATAATGTTCTGGATGGAAGCAGAACAGGAGAAGTACATTAGTGGAAAAGTGGTACTTGTAATAATAAGTCTGGAGTTTAGTTAATAGCGTTAACACCAATGTTGGTTTCTTGGTTATGACAAATATACCATGGTAGTGTCAAGCTGCTAACAATAGGGGAAACTAGGTGAGGGCTATATAAGGGAACTTTCTGAACTGAGCAACTTTTCTATAAATATAAGTCTATTCTAAGAGGTCTCACCAAAGACGATACATGAGTAGCTAGTAAGCACTTGAAAATGTGTTCAACCTTGTTAGGGAAATGCAAATTAAAACCACGATGAGATACTACTTCACACCCACTAGGATGGCTGTAATCACAAAGATAGTATCAAGCGTTGGCGAGGATGTGGAGAAACTAGAACCCTTGTACACTGCTTGTGGGAAAGGGTATAGCCACTTCAAAAATAGATTAGCAGTTCTTACAAAGTTAAACATACACTTAGCATATAACCCAGCAATTTCACTCTCAAGTATCTACCCAAGAGAAATGAAAACATATGCCCACACAATGATTTGTGCATAAATGTTCAAAACAATTAATTATATTTTAATGCCCAACCTAGAACAACCCAAATAGCCAACAGATAAAAGGATAAACAAAATTATGCACAATGAAATATGATTCAGCAATAGAAAGGAATGTACTACTCATAAATACAATGATATGCATAAGCCTCAAAAACATTATGCTAAGTGAAAGAAACCAGACACAAAAATTACATATTATTCCATTTATATCTAGGAATAAGCAAAACTGTGCAGACATTAAATAGATTACAGGTTTCTAGGGCTGCGGTGGGAGCAGAGATTGACTACAAACAGGCACTTTTGGCGTGTTGGAAACTTTTGGGGTGATGCAATCCTAAAAAGGATTGTGGGGCTTCCCTGGTGGCGCAGTGGTTGAGAGTCCGCCTGCCGATGCAGGGGACGCGGGTTCGTGTCCTGGTCCGGGAGGATCCCACATGCCGTGGAGCGGCTGGGCCTGTGAGCCGTGGCCGCTGGGCCTGCGCGTCCGGAGCCTGTGCTCCGCGGCGGGAGAGGCCACAGCAGTGAGAGGCCCGCGTACCGCAAAAAAAAAAAAAAATGATTGTGGTGATGGTTACACAGCAGTATAAATTAACTAAAAATCACCCAACTGTACACTTTTATAATGTATGAAATCATTGGCATATAAATTATACTTCAATAAATCTTTTTTCTTTAAGTCCAGTACTATGAAGAAATAATACCATTTTAAACTAGCATACCAACATAATTTATCATTCAAGCCAGAACAATTTTGAGAGTGAAAAGGATTGCTATTAAAACTATGCAAGAAGACAGGTGTGAACAAGGACCGTCCCAGACCAACTGGCTTGAATGGTGCCCCTTTTACAAAACTGTCATTGGACAGCAACAGTTAGTGGCCATCTGTTATGTGCAGAGCATCGGAAGGTGATAGAAATACACTTAGGAAGGAGATAGACATGGTCCCTGTCCTTTCGGATTGATGGCACAGTGAGGGAGATAGAAACGAAGGCAGCGACAAGCCCACTGCTGTGGGCACGTCGGGGGAGGCGTCCAAGTCATCCTGGGAAAAGAGAGGAAACTGTGAGCCAGGACTGCAAGGCAGTGGGAGGTAACAAGGACAACAGCAGGCAAAACAGTGACCCAGGCCCTGTTGTGGAACCAGAAAGTAATTCAGTGTCTGTAACATAGCCTAAGGGAAGAGGACAGAGGTGAGTCCTTGTCTCACACTGTTGTGTATTGTGAAAAAAGGGACTGTGAAAGTAAAGTAAAATGTATCATCTGGGCTGGAGATCTAGCAGAGAAAGGGCTGTTTCACCACTCTGGTCAAGTTGGTCACATCGGTCAGCCCTGTGGACCAAGCTCAGACTGAGCGCATGTTCCCAGACACTGTTTTGGGATCCTCTGGGGAGAAAAAAGCACTCTTAATAGGATGTGCTGGTGCCCTAAAGGGGTGTAGAACAGAGGTCATGACTATGGGGAAGAGGAGAAGACGCCTGGGATGATGTGTTTGGATCAGGAAGATAGATACTGTGAAATGCATGCACGTGTTGTCAAGTGGGAATTTTTCCAACAGCAAACAATTCAAGTAACGGACCATTTTTGCACCAGCTGAGCTTGATCTATGGGAACTACTCAGGAGCATGGCAAGAAGCTGCAAATGTGTTCTTCTACCTCTCTCTCCCCAGAAGCTTTCACAAGGAAGCTGGGAGAAATTTTTTGTCAGTCCTATTTTCCACTATGGTTTATGTCTCTCCTTTCTGAGTCCCTTTCATAAAAAAAGGTGGAAACTAATGTATGAGTACTAAGTACTAGACACAAGTCCCACTGGCTTCATTTAACCCTAGAGCTACCCTGTGAGATCTTTGTCATTCTTGTTTCACACATGAGGAAACTCTGAGATTCGATAACTTGCCCCAATTGCACAGTTAGAAAGAAATGGAACTGGAGCCCGCTAAGGCCAGCGTTGACACCAAAACCCATTGCTTTTCCCTCTCCAGCAAGCAGCTTCCAAGAAAAACACTCCAGATCATTTGAGAAGCCATCTGATGTGATTTCTGGGACAACGTACTATCCGGCCAGTGAGGCTGTCTCCCAATCCCAGGTTTTATTGAGAGGGACTTGGAGAGCATCCAATCCATCCCACAAGGTAGTTCTAGTGTCTGTCACTATGTGACTCAGCAGGTCGCGGCTCTCTGAGCCCCAATTTCCTCATCCCTAAAATATGAGTTGGGCTAGATCAGTGGCTCTCAAACCTGGTTGATGTCAGGACCCCTTTACACGCTTAAAAATTATTGAGGACCCAGCTTTTTTTTATGTGAGTTATGTCTATGATTATTTACCATTTTAAAAGTTAAAACAGAAACTTTGGAATAACAGTTTCCCAAAACAAAAGGAAATGCAGCGAGATGGGTGGAATTGTTTGACAATTTTGTAAATCTCTCTAATGTCCTACAGCTTAAGACAGCTGGATTCTCTTATCTGCTACATTTGATCTGTTCCGTATCACATGTGATGTAGTCTCTGGAAAACTCCACTGTACTCTTGTGAGAGAAGGAGAATGAAGAAGGCAAATAATGTCTTACTGGTACCATGGAAATAGCTTTGTCTCCACTTCCCCTGCAGGGGCTTCCAGAGGTCCTGACCACCCCCTTTTTTTAAAAAAAAAAAATTTATTTATTTTTGGCTGCGTTGGGTCTTCGTTGCTGTGTGCGGGTTTTCTCTAGTTGCAGTGAGGGTGGGTTATTCTTCGTTGCAGTGTGCGGGCTTCTCACTGCAATGGCTTCTGTTGTTGCGGAGCACAGGCTCTAGGTGCGCAGGCTCAGTAGTTGTGGCATGCGGGCTCGGTAGTTGTGGCTCACAGGCTCTAGAGCGCAGGCTCAGTAGTTGTGGCACACGGGTTTAGTTGCTCTGCATCATGTGGGATTTTCCAGGACCAGGGCTCAAACCCGTGTCCCCTGCATTGGCAGGTGGATTCTTAACCACTGTGCCAGCAGGGAAGCCCCCTGACCACCCTTTAAGAATTGTTTCCTCCAGCACTCAGAATCACCTGGGGGGGGGGGTCCTGATAAAATGCACATCTGGCCTATCCCAGACCTGTGGTATCAGAATTCACATTTAATAAGCCTCCTTGCACACTGGAGTTTGGGGACACCAGGGTGGGAGAGCTCCAAGATTCCTGCCAGCCTGGTTCATCCAAAGCTACCGAGTGCCCTGTTTTGGTAGAGTTGGGATTAAGGCCCAGGTCTCAGTGCAGGGCTCGCGGTGGCAGTCAGCTCCTGCTCTCTGGCTTGCCTGGCTTATCAGTTCACATCTCCCTACTCACTTTCCCATTCAGGGAAGTGCTGAGGGCAGCTGGGCACCTCGCTTACAGCTTTAAAATAAATATTAGGCTTGCTTACAGCTATACATTTCTGCATGCAGCAGATGCAAGAGAAGTGAAGGACGGAACCCATGGGGAAGGGACCTCCCTTGCCCACAGGAGGAAGTTCTGTGCTAAGCTTGCCCCCCACCCCTCCGCCCCAGGTATCTGTGCAGTGAGTCATCCACAGCTCATGAGTGTCGGGCCAGGCAATGGGAGTATAAAAAAGAAAAGAAAAACTATACCCTCAGGAGTGTAAGGTCTGGCTGGTGAAAAACAGGCAAATGTGGAAGCAACTCAAGGAAAAGAACAAATTGCATAAAGAATGTCTCTAGTGGAGAAACCCTAATGTAGAATACTTACATACTAGATAAAGTGGACTGTGACATCGCTTTTAAATTTCAGAGTAAGATTCCACAATTGCACTTAAAAAATATTGTGATTTAATTAACACACAAAAAACCCGGCTATAGTGGGACATTTGCTTACATGGAAGTTATAACAGAATCTGTTAAAACCTATGTTACAAAGTAACCTGTGCAGTTGGTGCGATGGAAATAGCCTTGGCCTTGAATGGGTCATAACTGGGCCACTAACTAGCCATTAACTAGCTGCAGTGACTCTAGTAATGTAACATGTGTTGAGCACTTACTATGTGCAAGGCACTGTTAGGTGACATGAAGCATTCACAAAAGCAAAAAGCCTAAAACGCACTGGAGGAACTAAGCCTTGTCCACAAGCATCTGCACTGGAGGCGGCAGGGTTCAGGGCTGACAGTTAAGATGCCTCGTGCACTGTGGACCGTGCACGTGGGGGATGCGTATTTAATGCCCTGGACCGCCATTCACCAGCACGTCGCCTCTGGTTCCTCAGCTGTACGGGAAGGGGTTCAGTGACACGACCTCCAAAGCCGGGCCCCATCGCCCCCAGCAAGGACATTCCCCGCCTGCTCTCTCTGCGCCTGTTCCTCCACCTGCAAAAAGGTGTCCCACACACGGTCGTGGTGAGGAGCAACATTTCCTGGCACCCATCACACGTGCCCACGGACAAGAATACACCTCGGACCCTGCCCGGGTGGGTCAATTTCACGCGTCAACCCCAGAGTGCACCGCAGCGACGGGAGGAAAGAGTGATGGACCCTTGGACAACAGGCGGTCAAGTGCCCGCTACATTAGAAAGCGCGGCCCGACGTGAGCCACCACCCTTCCGCACCGAGCCGCGGAGCACAGCCCAGGCCCTACGCGTCCTTTGCCCCGAGCCAGAGCCCGGTCCCCGCCGCCTTTCCCCTAGTCCCGCGCCTGCGCCACGCCCCTGCGCTCTCTGGGGAGATGGCATCGATGTGCTCGGCGCTCTCCTGAGCCAGCCCTAGGGGTGGGCGGGTCCATTTGCCTCAGGTGGTCTAACAGGCGCCGGGGCGGACCAATGGCGTGGCCACATGGCTCCGCCCCTTCCTTGCGATTGGCCGGCGCTGGAAAGTCGCGGCCTGGGCCTCGGGAGCCGAGCCGGAGAAGAATTCAGTCCTGGTCGTCCGCGCTGCGGCTACCTGCTCGCCGGCTCTCCTCGGTCCAGCCCGCTCTGCCCCGCCGCCGCCGTCATGGCCCAGTGAGTGGCCGCCCGCGGGCGGCCGGGGAACTTTCCGAGGGCCGACGCGGAGGCCGGAGTCGCCCCAGACGTCGCCTCGCCCCGGGGGTCTTCTGAGCCCGGCCTCGTGGCGCCCGGAGCCCCGGCCTTCCAGGGAGCCGCCAGACCCCGAGCCAGCCCCGCGGCCTCGCCTTTTCTCGGACCCAGCCCCTCTGCCCCTCGCGGCGGCGCAGGCGGATCCGGTTCCTAGGAAGGGCGCGAGGGGAGGGGACAGGCGTGGCCGCGGGAAGCCCGGGCTGCTGGACGGTCCGGCTGTGGGAGACGGGAGGCCTGGAACGAGTCGTCAGCAGCTCGGATAGAGCGCAGAAGGGGCTTAGTGCCGTGGACCCCCTCCTGCGGGCCTGTTTGGTTGGCCCAGGAGAACATGAGGACCTGTTAAGTGGCAGAGCGGGGTGGCCCGCCTCGAGTTTCACGGAAGGCTGCAAGCCCGGGGTCTAAAGTGCAAAAGGGAGGAGGGGATTAGAGGAAAGTTAAGACGAGTTATCAATCACAGCAAAAGCTAGGAAGCTCAGGGTCCCTGACTTGGAATGAATTAAGTGCAGCTGACGGTTTCCTTTGTTCCTTTCCCCGTCTTTTAGAGCGGATATTGCGCTGATTGGACTGGCTGTCATGGGCCAGAACTTAATTTTGAACATGAACGACCACGGCTTTGTGGTAAGTTAGGAGGGGCACACTCTTCCCTTACGGGTTCTTGTTGCCTTAGTCTGAGTGCTGGTGACCGTTCTGATTCCGAAGAACCCATATAACGTGGAACATGGTTCTCTTTATATGCGCCCTGTTGCTGCTTAGGACATTTTTGCAAGAGATCGAGAAGCACCACTTTGCATGTGGGTGTGGGAGGGGCAGCTCCACAGTTCTCTGAGGAAGGAGAGTCCTGCTAAATGTATCTGCAGGTTCTGTCAGTTCTGCAGCCTTGAATAAACCTGTCGGTATCCTAAGGAGGAGAAGTCCCGCTGGGAGTATAGATTTCTGACTTTATTGCCTAATGGGATCTGGTGAAACGTTCGGGTGTGAATACTAAACTGGCTTAGATACAGGATTATCAGTGACAGAAGATAACAGTCTGGAACTAGCTTGTTCCCAGATTTGAGTCCTAACCAAATAGCGACAGACTCTTATCTAGCCTGTTAAGTTTTGGGCAGTTGACATTTGCCTATATTCAGTTCTTTGCCTTTTCATCCTATTAAAATTAACTTTATGGTGATCAGTCAGCACTTGAGTGGGGAAAAGGTAGAATCAGGGTCCTACCTCCCCAAAACCTTGGGCTGCATAGACATTCCATTGTCACTTGGTCCTCAGTCTGAAGGTCTTGTACGTCCCAGATCTCCTGATCAGGCCTTTTGTTCTTCTAGGTCTGTGCTTTTAATAGGACAGTCTCCAAAGTTGATGAGTTCTTGGCCAATGAGGCGAAGGGCACCAAGGTGGTTGGTGCTCACTCCTTGGAGGAGATGGTCTCCAAGCTGAAGAAGCCTCGGCGGATCATTCTGCTTGTGAAGGCTGGTCAGGCCGTCGATGATTTCATTAAAAAACTGGTGAGGCCAGCTCTCTCCCCGCTGCTACTCGTGTGACAGAACGTCTCTCGTTCCCTTCCTTTAGCTATTTCACTTTTTTTTTTTTTTTTTTTTTTTTCCGCGTCGGGTCTCTCCCATTCTTGCGCGTAGGCTATAGAGTGTGCAGGCTTAGTTGCCTCACGGTATGTGGGATCTTAGCTCTCCGACCAGGGATCAAACCCACATCCCCTGCATTGGAAGGTGGATTCTTAACCACTGGATCCCCAGAGGAGTCCCTCACTTCTTTTTGCTTAAGAAATTTTGTCCCTTTTCAATTTTTGGATATGATCTGCTCAGTTCTGACAAAATGTTGCTTAAAAGTCTCAGTGTTGGTTAACTTGACTGGCACCAATTAAGTAAAAACATACCCTCAAGTGGTAATAATTCTTAGTATATAAAATTCTGAGGACAAGAGACACGTCCATGAGAATTCATTATCAACCAGAATAGAAACAGTAGTAATCTCAGTGAGCTCTCTCTTTGATATTCAAAAAAAAAAAACTTATAGTTTTGATTGTGTATTATGAATGTTTAGTGCTAGTCACTATTAAACCTTACTGTCCAAATTTAGAAATAGACTTCATTTTTCTCAGTTCTTTTTATGGCTGAGCAATATTCCATTGTATATATGTGCCACATCTTCTTTATCCATTCATCCGATGATGCACACTTAGGTTGTTTCCATCTCTGGGCTATTGTAAATAGAGTGGCAATGAACGTTTTGGTACCTGACTCTTTTTGAATTATGGTTTTCTCAGGGTATATGCCCAGTAGTGGGACTGCTGGGTCTATCATTCAGTTTTATTCTTAAGCTCAGAACAGGAAAAGAACAGTGACTGATAAGAAATGTCTGTAATTATATTTGAGGGTGGATTGCAGACCCAGTGGAGGAGACAGTGTTTTAAGCAGAGAGAATTGAGATTTTCCTGGTTTTGTGCTATATGAAATTAAGCAGTTGTTTATTTGTTTTAATTCAAATAGAAATCGAGTCACTGGAATTTACGAACTCAGTTTATGCAAGATGGCAGACACAGGTAGTCCAGGTAAGCTCTGTGGATCAGGAAAGTGATAGTTACCTTTGCATTTGACTGGAGTACATTATATCAAAAATCTACCCCACCCCTGTAGGATAGATATACATTTTTGAGAAGCCAGTTATATTTTACAAGCCACTTTGGTGGTGGTGGTGGTGGTGGGAGTTTCCTTTTTCTGAGTTGCAGCACTGTTTGGTTTATGACATGCAATACAGTTATAAAAGCTGTATGGGACAAATTGTTGCTGGGCTGTGGAATACTATAACAAATTCAAGCGTGTTACAGTGAATTTGGCTTGGAAACCTTCAGAACCATTTCCCTCTCAACCTTAACCCCAAAGATAACTTGACAGTATAACTTTACAGGTGCTGTCAACCTAGAATTTGAACTTCCTATGCTCTAGAAAGACAAATTATCAAGTTGAACTTGTTCTGTGTCCTTTTTAATGTCTCCTTGAACTGCTGTTGTTCCTCCAGTTTGGTGGCCTTCAACAGCACTCTATGTTTCCATGTTTGTAAACTGGAACGTGGACACAAGTCAGGGTTTTTAAAAGCAATTAATGTAAATTTGAGTCGGTTTAGAGAACATATGTGGAAAAGAGGCCAAGGCCCACAGGTAAGATTGAGATAAAAAAAGACGACTTTGAGTATGAATCCAAGTCCCAATAGCAGCTAATTATAGTGTCTAGATAGTTCCTTCAGAAATTTTTTAATTAACATAAATTCGTGTCTCTTGTATGTGAAACCAGCGTAATATTTTTAAAAATTATTGGGAAATAATGGAGGCTAAACCAGTCTGTCATCTACCATCTTAACTGAGCTACCAAATGTGAGGTAGCTCACATCTTTCCCACTTTTTCCCCATGAATGTATTTTTATATATTTAGAACGATAGCGTACAGGCTATTTAATCTCTGTATTTTCACTTAACATAATAACTAGCATTGGGGCTTCCCTGGTGGCACAGTGGTTGAGGGTCCGCCTGCCGATGCAGGGGATGCGGGTTTGCGCCCCGGTCTGGGAAGATCCCACATGCCGCGGAGCGGCTGGGCCCATGAGCCATGGCCGCTGAGCCTGCGCGTCCGGAGCCTGTACTCTGCAACGGGAGAGGCCACAGCAGTGAGAGGCCCATGTACCGCAAAAAAACCCACAACAACAACAACAAAAAAAACTAGCATTTTCTCAAGAGGCATTACTAGCTTCATAATTATTAAAGAATATAAAACTCAGTTTTTAAAAGAAGTTTAGAGAGTTGCTTTGGGGCAAAAGGGATAAATTTTTATTAATAATCAAAATCCCATGTATCTTGAGACTAAACTGTCTCAGTGTGCCACATAATGTGAATTATGAAGTCATTTTGAGCTAAAATTGGAATTGGATGTTTTTCTGGAAAAAAGAGTTGTTTCCTGTTATCTCAGGCATGCAGAGGAGGAGAAGGAAAATCTTGGATACATCAGTGGCATATGTGCGGGGAGAAGAGAACTTAGCAGGCTGGCGGCCTCGTGGAGACAGCCTCATCCTTGAGCACCAGTGGGACTTGGAGAAGCTGGAGCTCCTGCACGAGGTACGCCGGGGCACGGGGTGCACAGGTGAACTCTCGGGCAAGATTCCCGCAGCATCAGTCTTACACTCACCTCCTATCTGTGATCCTGGCTTTGCAGTTTTCGATCATGATGGAGGCATAATATTTTGCTTATTAAGATCTTGATGAGCTTTGTGTTTGCTGAGGCTGTAGTGTTGATCTTCTTAGGTGGAGAAAACCCGCCACTTCCTGCTGCTCCGTGAGAGACTTGGTGACAGCATCCCCAGATCCCTGAGCGACTCGTTGTCCCCCAGCCTCAGCAGTGGGACCCTCAGCACCTCCACCAGCATCTCCTCTCAGATCTCAACCACCACCTTTGAAAGTGCCATCACACCCAGTGAGAGCAGTGGCTACGACTCCACAGACATTGAAAGCCTGGTGGATCGAGAGAAAGAGCTGGCTACCAAGGTGTGGCTCCCTGCCTCTGCCGAGCATTTTCCCCCGTGAGGCTCTGTGAGCTGGTGTTTCTGTTTTTTTCACTTGCATTTTCATCTTTCTTTGAGGGCCTCTGTTCAAGGCCTGTGCTCACACTGTGAATATAGAAGTAAATGAGACTTAACTTCTACCCTTAATAAGTTGACACCAGGCGAGGGGGTGACAAGCTTACAATAGAGGTTTGGTCGAGAATGCTGTGGGAGCCGGAGGAGAGGCCTGCCCAGGAGGGCACTCGTGGACTGACCTTGGAAGGATGCGCAGGAGAGAGCCAGCGGCGTCCTGCACAATCAGTGTGAGGGAATCCGTGCAGGAGAGGGACAGGAGATGGAGTTGGAGAGATAGGGCAGGGCCAGATCACGAAGAGTCTATGTGCTGGACTAAAGCGTCCAGAATATCCCGGGAGTGACTTGGAAATGTTTCAAACAGCTATTTGTTTTAGAAAGATTTCTCTGGCAGCAGTAAAGAGGATGGACTTGTGGTGAAGAGACAGGCTAGAGGCAGAAAGAATTCTTTATTTCAGTAATCCAGATGAGAAACGGTAAAGTTTTTAACTATGGCGGGGGTGGGTGGGATGAAGAGGAATCACGGGAGAGACGTTTGGAAGGTAGAATCCGCATTCCTTGTTGCCTGGATAACAGCAGGAGAGGGCAGAGAGGTTGTTGAGGGTGACCACCAGGCATGTGGGTCTGGGCAACTGGCTGACAATGGAATATAGAAATAAGAGGGATTTTGTGTTCTTTTCAATAATCGAATGGTCGTCTAGTTGATTTGGGAATGTATGTCCATCCAGAAACCTCCATGCCTTTTAGTACCAGGGCAAATGGAGAATGAAAGGGATGCTGTCGCATTCTTAAACGCTTTAAACTATGGTGTTTACGGTAATTCACTTGTAGTCATGAGAATGGCTTTTTTTTTTTTTTTTTTTTTTGAGAATGGCTTTTTATCCACTCATTTTATCGTCTTTGTTAGGCATGTACCAGGCTTCTCTTGCTGTGTACTCAGTTAATTTCTAGAGCTATTTGAGCAGCACCTGAGCTCCACTGTGAGTCGTAGGCATGTTATTTTCCCTTCCTGCTTTAATCCCGGGCTTTGTTTAACCATTGAAACTTACTCTTCCCTCTCTCTTCCCTAGTGCCTGCAACTTCTCACCCACACTTTCAACCGAGAATTCAGCCAGGTGCACGGCAGCATCAGTGGCTGCAAGGTGAGCAGCTCTCATTTCCTGTCCTCTGGCTTTGCTGCTTTTAGGTGGCTTGAGATGGGCAGAGCATTACATGTGAGGATGTATGACATATCTGCTCTTCCGTTTATTTAATTTTTCAGTCAGAACACTGACTTCTGAAGATAAAAGTATTCTTCTGTGTCTCTTAGAGTAATTGTGAGAATTACTCTCATAATTTGGGCTTTTCCCTGAATCCCTTGGAGGAGGGTATTCTGCAGGGGGTGATATATTATTATATGGCAAGGCACAAGAAGTCCTGAGGCTCTTGGTGGCATGAAGTTTTGTTGCCTTCAACAAAGAGTGAGGTGAACACGTGGAAGAATTTCTGCATCATTCACTCTGTTCTGGTCATCTTCACCTTTTTTGCTATTCCCTAGACACTCCAAGCTTTCCACCTTGAGGTTGTGTACCTCAAGGTGGCTGTGAATTTTCCCAGTATAACCTTCCAGATAGTCCCACGATTCAGTTCTTTATTTCATTTTTCTGCTCAGATGTTGCCTCCTTGGAGCGGATTTCCTTAACCACCCTATGTAAGGCCAGCAGCTCTCTGAAACCTTTTAACCTGCTTCTCTGCTTTACTTTTTGCTGTAGCACTGATCCCTGCCTGACACTTCTTAAAGTGTTTGTTGATTGGTTTATTATCTGCCTTCTCCACTTAAAGTGTAAGCTCCAGGAGGGCAGGGCCTCTGCCATATTCTTAGAACAGTGCCTGTTGTTCTTAGTTCTCAGCACATATAGATAGGGTCATTTAGTTAATGCAGGAAGCTGTAGCAATATAAAATATAAACATATTTTATAAATATAAAAAGCTAGCCTTGCCTCTTTTATAAATGTCTTGATTCCTATTCTGACACTTTGGCCATAAAATATTCATAAGGATTGTTTTCTTGAATGACCTGAAACAGAAGAGGATTTATGAACATGAGGTCACTGGCTGTCAAAGCTTCTTACTGCAGAGGTGGTTTTGTTCATCTGAATCTCACTTGCTGTGTTCTGTTTTCTTCCAGTTGTCTGATATCTCTCCAGTCGGACGGGATCCCTCTGTGTCCAGTTTTAGCAGTGCTACCCTCACTCCCTCCTCCACCTGCCCCTCTTTGATAGATGCTAGGGGCAACTCTTTGGATCAGAAGTAAGTACCCAGATTTCACTGACAAAAGCTAATGTAAGAACCAAGGGAAATGCCAACCTTCCGCTAGCTCAGTGGTTCTCAACCGAGGGCAGCACCGTCCCCCTAGGCAGCCTTGGGAAACATGTGGGAGCCTTTTCTGGATGTCACAGTGACTGGGAAGATGCTGCTGACGTCTCTTAACGTCATACGTTTTACTAACTTTCTGCATCAAGTCACTGACTCCTCTTCTTCGTCCCCTTTTGCGTGATTTGTTCTTGTATTCACACCCCTGATTGTCTCCCCAGTCAGATCAGACACAGGAAGCCCCATCCTGGGAAAAATACTTTGAAACTACTTTGGAAAAAATATTTTAATGACACAAGAAAGCATATAGGTAAGAAGAATAGAGATGAAGTCCATGAATGATTCCATGAATTCATCATTAGAATCACTGCTGTGCAGTGCGCCATCAGTCTCCTTTGCCCTGTCTCCATTCATTATGCTCACCTGTCACAACCCACCTGGTTATCATCCAGCTGTCTACCTTCCTGTATCAACACTGAGGCAGTGGGCTGGAGAAAATAACACAACCAGGTAATTTAATTGAATCTGGGATGCCATCAACTCTAAGACATTATTTTTATATGCCACTAAAAGAAAAAGCAATGCCAACTAAAATGTGACATGCCATCAATTACAAGATGCATCCCAATTCGAGAAATGGTAAAGTTTGAGAAAAATGGGCTTTTTGGAATTGGTGAAATGCAATTAATTAGACTAAGCTGCTCTACAAAGATAACAATACAGAGCGTGGGGGATTATCTCTCTCACATCGGTTCAGAGCTGGTCCTGGTTGGTGGAGCAGCTCTGCTCCAGACAGCCGTTCAGGGGCCCGGGTTCTTCCCATGTGTTTGCTCGCTCTGCCAGCCCCTCAGGCAGTGGTCCTCAGACTTCAGTGGCATCAGCATCACCTAGGAGGCTTGTTAAAGCCCAGGTGGCTGAACCCCATTCAGAGTTTCTAATTCTGTATGTCTGAGTTGGAGCCTGAGAATTTGAATTTCCAACAAGTTTTCAGATGAAGTTGATGCTGCTGATCAGGGACCTCACTTTGAGAACCACTGCCCTAGGTGGTGCCCTAGGTATGGCCTTGAGACTAAATAGAAACATATAAAGGAATGGAGTTCATATTCAGTACCCTTCTGTTGAGAGGGCGTCAGGGTAGGAAGAGAGACTGAGTGACTTGGTGGTCATCAGTGATGAGTTTCCTTTGTAACTGCCGAAGGATGACACCAGGTGAATTTGGGATTACGTTTCAGACACCAGCTTTGTCTTCTTAGCCAAGCTCTCTGGAACTGATGTTTGCAAGGTTCCTGGTGTTCGGGGATAGGCATTGTTCCTCCTGGTGAGACGGCTGTGTATTGACCTTACTGAAGCACCTGTTACCCCTTTCTTCCTAACCTCTCTCTTTTCAAGGACCCCAGAAGCCAATTCCCGGGCCTCTAGTCCCTGCCCAGAATTTGAACAGTTTCAGATAGTCCCAACTGTGGAAACGCCCTATTTGGCCCGAGCAGGAAAAAATGAATTTCTCAATCTTGTTCCAGATATTGAAGAAATTAGACCAGGGTGAGTACTATATTGAACAGGGATGCCAGGTATTAAAAGACAAATTAGCAGGAATTTACTTTCAGCTCTTCTACATGAGGTCTGCATTACAGTCTAATGCAAATGGAATCAGGGTGAAAGAGTGCTGGTTGGGTTTCCACTCCCGGTGTATCACCGCCACCCGGCACAGCATGTGGTGGTGGTGCTTTGTGCTCTTCCGCTGCATTTCTTCAGCAGATAAGATTCTAGACCAAGTAGATCATTTGCCTGTTTCTTTCAGCCTAGGGACTTGGCCTAGGTCTGTTTTGATGGCCCTCGCCTCATGATCACTTTATTTTTGTGAGAAACTAACCTCTCTTGTACTGCCCTTTTCAGCTCAGTGGTCTCTAAGAAAGGATATCTGCATTTCAAGGAGCCACTTTCCAGCAACTGGGCTAAACATTTTGTCGTGGTCCGTCGCCCCTATGTCTTCATCTATAACAGTGACAAAGACCCGGTGGAGCGTGGCATCATTAACTTGTCCACAGCGCAGGTGGAATACAGCGAGGACCAGCAGGCCATGGTGAAGGTCAGTCCTGCCCTCTCTTGCTTTTCATTGCCACGCAGAGCCTTCCCTGTTGAGTTCTGAACTCCATCGTGTGGTGTGGAATCTCTCTTTTGTATTTGGTGTCTCTGAACCTTCAGTGTGAAGGGCCGTGTGCCCGCTGAATATGGCTGGCGGTCCCCATTGTTCAGTATCCATAGTAACTTTCTCATCTTCCTGTGTCTCTTTCAGACACCGAACACCTTTGCTGTATGCACAAAGCACCGTGGGGTCCTTTTGCAGGCTCTCAATGACAAAGACATGAACGACTGGTTATATGCCTTTAACCCACTCCTTGCTGGCACAATACGGTAAGAAGTTGTTCCTGTGTTTGCTTCCTCTCCTTGGTTTTTGGTTCCAGGGATGTCAACATAAACAGAAAAGGAAGTCTTGTTGCAAACAAGTTTAAAATAGAGGAAGGACAGGAGTGTAAGTGTGGTTGTAAGGTGGCGATGAGGCCTCAGCTTCTCATAAGGTGGCATCTGGTGTCCCGAATGGCTAAGGAGACTCTGGTCACATTTGTACCCAGTTAGTCTCCTGCTTTGACTTTTTATTCTTAAGGGGTCTACAGCTGGGGTCTGTGGGACCGAGTAAAGGGAAGATTGTGAGAACCTTAACGGTCTCCCAATATTCGGCCATATGATCCAGCCTCAGATCCTGTGAGGGGCTTGTGTCCCAGGGTCCCCAGAGTGAGGAGGACCACTGGCCGGCCTCTTTGTTCAGGGGCTTAGAGACCCGGGCCTGCGGTGCAGGATGGGAGGACATGCAAGGAGGGGAGCACAGAGGAGGAATACCTGCGAGGGCAAGAGCCCCAGATCCAGTTTTCCAGTCCTGCCGTCTGTCTGATCCTCTGATCCCTTTTCTGCCCACAGGTCAAAACTCTCCCGCAGATGCCCAAGCCAACCGAAGTACTAGGTGACTGCCGAGCGCCCTCACTCGCCTTCCGAGAGATAAAGAAAGTGTTAACCTCTCATTCCTCTTTGTGATTCTTGATGGTTATTCTTGTGTGTGATCCTGTGGCTTAAGTGCTCGTCCCTTCTCGTCCAGCACTTTTTCTGTCGCTCCTGGCCCCCGTCCCCATTGCTCTGTACTCTTTTCTTTTTTCCTGTGCTGAGAATCTTGTTAGAAGCATGTGGCCTAACAAAAGGGGGGGAAAAACGAACAAAAAAACAAAAACCCAGAGGGGATCCAGTGAATCTCCCAATTATTTTTTGGTGTATTTTGGCTTCCTTTTGTGTGATAGGTCCCCATATGACCACCTCTGATGTCTGTACTTCTGTCTTTGGATATCTCTGTCTGTTGTTCAAGACAACATAATACTTTTTTCTTTTCATTGTGATATAATTTTAATTTTTCTTGGGTGGCTTAGAGACAAAAGGAAGAGACATCTGGTCTTTTTTAGAACCTGAGAGGAAAAAACTTAACCTTTTCCCCTTCTGTCTCTTTTTGCCATGACTAATCCTTACATTTTCCATTCAGGGAAAGGGTTGTAGTGAGCTTAGAAATGGGACAGGTATATTGTCTGAAATTAGGGCTTATTTAGAACATAGTTATGTAATTTTCATTTAGTGGAAGAGACTTTTCAGCAGGTTTGGGACAGTGGCTACTGTTGACCTTTTAAGAAGGAAAGAGCCAAGGCTATCGCTGATGGATTTCAAAGGACCGTGGGACTTGGGCCGTGACAGTGGGGGTCAGTGGGATGCTTGTAGTTCCTCACAGCAGGGCTCCTGTGAGCTGTTTGTCTCCACTGGGAGGGACCCTCTTCTCTCAGAGTCTCAGTTCTGTTCTTGGAGTTAGTAATGACAGTGGTACAGTTTGGAATTAGTGCCATGATGTCATATACAAATATCCCGCAAGGAGGGAGTGTTTCACTATCTGGTGATGAACTTGATGGTCTTTGTCATCATTATGATTATGATTATGCCAGGTAGTGACCTTGTGATTGTTGTAGCTCCCTTTGATCAAAGAAATCTAACTCTTAAGTGTAAACTTGGATGTCTCCCTCTGAATCCAGAGGTCATTTTCAGTGATCCTTGTCAAATTGAAAACACTTTCAATGATGCTTGTCTCCCTATGCTCATAGATAAGTGAACATGGCAGGCTTTGCTTTCTGGACCCCAGAATTATAACGGACTTCCTGCCACCACTAAGAGCAAAAGGACACCTGGGGGCAGAGAAGAGGGTCCACCTGAACCCTGGCCCCAGGCCTGGTCATTTGTCTCCTCCTTGGTTATCTCCGTCGTGCGTGGAAATACTGCCAGAGGAGGAAGGAGGAGCTCACTGCTGGTAGCCTCCTTCTGTGACAGAACAGGATCGCCTGCTTCCAGAGGCCATTGTGGAAGATGCTCTTTCTCTTTCAGCTGCAGTAAGTGTCACAGGAATGACATGGGAGAGAAGGCCTCCAGTTACTTCAGTTGCTTTGCCAGTTGACTTGGGCTGTTCTGTACCATCCTTTACTGCCCTCGCTCACACCTCTGTTTGACCATCCATCCTTCAGGTGTTCAGGAAGGTATCTGCTTGCTGCCACTTGGTGGAGATCCTCCGCCGGGGGTCCTCCGCCTCGAGGGTGCTGACTCTTAGGTAGCAAAGGGGAAGGGTCCGTGCGCTCAGCAGGATGGGTGCTGGGCAGGCTCACCAGCACCCAGACCCTTGCCTCTGCCTTCCTGGAGGGGCTCATCTCCTGGCTTCGTTCATCATAATTGCTTTGCAAAGAGGAGGAAAAGGGAGTCACGGAGAGCTTAACAAAAGAAAGACTAGAAATCAAAGGCTATGACCTTACCTGAAAAATGATCAAGAAAAATTCTATGGTAGATTTTTTAACTTTCTTCCTCTCCTTAAAACATAGGTCACTAACTCTAATGTTACTTGTTTTCTAAATGGTGCTTCAGACTTTAAAGTAGTTAGAGGTTTCTTGTCTAATGGACACAATGTGCCCTTCCAGTGTCCACTCAAATCCAGGGTCTGCCCGTGCTTAGAGACAGCTTCCTGGGCTGAAATTAAATCTAGTTTCAGGGAAACGAAGATGAGATTTGAAGGTTACTTTTCGAATTAAATCATGGCTGCTGCTGCTGTTACAGAGTCTGATAGGAGGGCCCGTGTCTGTGGCAAAAGGAGGCCGGGGAGAGCCGAGGGAGATAGAATCAAGTGATACAGTAAGATGTTTTTTATTCTAACTTAAACAAAACTGGCTTGGAAAGCCTTTGCTTTGGAGCGTCAGATACTAGAAGAGGCCGAGGTGAGAAGGCCTTGTGAGGCAGTGGGGGCCTTGGCTGCAGCCCCCCGGCACACAGCCCGCACTGGCGCCCCTTCCTCAAGGGGTCTGTTTTCAGATTGGAGTTGGAGCAGCTTCAGGATTGATGGTCCCTTTCCAGGCAGGCCCGTCCCCACTTTGAAGCTCTGAGAGAGAGTTTATGGCAGGAATTATTTATGAGGCTTTCATGGAAGCCATAGTGTCAGGAAAGTTGAAAGAACTCAAACCTTTAAGGAAACCACCTTTTAAGGGTTGGTTGGTTTGCTTTTTTTTTTTTTTTTTTTTTTTTTTTTTTCTTGAAGCACACCTTTAAACAAGCAAATAATAATTAAGCAAGAAAGAACACTTATACAAATTTAGGGGAAATGAGCGCTAGAGTAGCCATCTCCTCCCCTCCCTCCCCCATCCTCCTTTCTCCCGCCAGAGCAAAAGACGGCCTCACAGCTTCCACCAGACCAGTGCTCACAGCCTCCTGTCTCCGCGCCTGCCTGGGGGTCACTGAGCTCTCAGGCCGGGCTCTGCGGGGTCCGCCAGCCCACGCACACAGCCACGAGCGCAGGGAAGGGCTGCTTTTGGCAGCTGGGTGAGCACTTGGATTCCAGTACGTTTTGGTAATGTGAGGGAAGTCGAGGGAAATGATTTTTCCCAACTATGACTACTCAAATTGTGGGTGAGATTTTTCAGCTCTTGTAAGATGAAGGAATCAATGAAGCCATTGTGGAAGATCTTTTGGTACCTAAAGTAAAATGACTTCTCCTGGCACATATATCAAAGCAAAGACTTTGTTGTCTGCTGCTTGTTGTCTAATTTACAGGGATATTTAATTTTGTAAGGTATTTGTATATTTATACAGCTATAATTAATTGCACATTGATCTGGAAAAGCAAGGATGACCTAGCGTGTAGCACCTGCTGGTACTTGGCATTCCCTCGTCTGGGTTCCACTAGGGTTCTCCTGGACAGTATCAGGGCTTGTTCATTTCTTGTTTGACTTGGGTCCTTCATTTTACCTTTTGGTTCCCTTTTTAAAATGTGATTGTTAACCTGCTCTTTAAAAAGAAAGAGACTAATTTTGCTGCTGCTCTCAGAAGGTTTGCTGAATGTATTTAAATAGGACTCTAACTCGTGTGCACTGCAGCTGTCCACTGTGGCCAGTGATGATTCACCCAAGTGTGTGGCCAGACCATGACTGTGTAGCAGGAATGTATTGATTTGTGCTTCCTTAGTAAATGGAGATATCAGCTGAGAGATGATCTGCTGCTGTTGTGTTCCAAAAGGCCATTTATGAAACCTGTGTTCGAGCCCCATAAAATCTTAGGAAAGCCTCTAGTCATTTAAAGGAAGAAGTTAGAGTTGATACAAATTTCACATTAAAAATTCAGCCAAAACGGCTTGTGCTCAGACGGAATGTCCGAGTTGAGGTTGGTCTCTTGCCAAACCCTGGCCGTCGTGTGTTGTTTTCATGTCTTCAAGTTAATTTTTTTCATGCTGCGTATTCTGGCATCAGTTCACCTGAGGAATCCATCAGCCTTCTTGTGAGTCGTCTTAGACTTTGTGGCTCTGAAGTACTTGTCCGGTGAGACTTCAAGTCCCTTGTCACCATCCTCATGCACAAAACCCATGAAGCATAAGTGGCCTTTTTGAACCAAGACTTTGCAAACTGATCTCTCCCCAGGGAAGGAGTTGAGCACATTTAGCAACAATGTACATTATTAATTTCAGATTCTCATTTTCATGTTTTATTATGTAAATATTATCTGATGTTCAGAGCCTGAGTATACAGAATGTAAATATAGTTCTTGTATTTGTACTAATTCTGGTTCTTTTGCTGTATAGCCTTAGATGTGCAATGCAGACATTATCTAACTGTGTATGGTAACCTTGCATCACGGAACTATTAGTGAACGAGGTAAAAATAATAAAGGTACAACCAGTGCATCAGAAGGCTTTTGATGTGCGTTTATTCCTACACCCTTTGAAAGGTATTTACACAAAGATTTTTCTTGATTTGCAAAGACATTACTCTTCTGGGACAGATGTCACCGTGCTATGACCTCCATGTTCCTTTCTGATAATGCAAAGCAGCAGTTATTCTATAACTAATGTGATGCTGTTTCTTAGAAATACTTTCCTCCCGGTTAGGGAAGTGGCTATTTTAGGTGGAAGATTTGCCTTTTTTTTCTCCCAAAGCCTCTGTTTATATACCTGCCAGTGATTCTGTAGTGTTGTTGTAGGGTGGGAGATGGAGGGTTGAAATTTTCACTGTGTCAATTTAACAAGTTCCTGTTGTGAGCAGAGAATGAGAAGGGACCACTGTCCTGGGTATTTGGGGGAGAAATGGAAGCAGGGAAGGGAAGCAGCATTCAGGCAGAAAGCAGCAGTTTGTTCAGGGCGTATCCGAGGGCCCAGCTGTCCCCGGCAAGCGCTGGGTCCTGATGATTCAGCAGCGAACAGAGCAGGCCCTATACCCGGGGCCCTCCCACTCCAATGAGGGAAGACACTCGTTATACAAATTTAAAATGTTACAGAGCAAAGAAAAGCTGAATAAAAGATTAGAAGGGATGGGAAGAAAGCGTCTTTTTAGATTGTGTGGTCAGGGAAGGCCTCTTTTGGGAGATGACATTTGAGTAGACTCCTGAATGAAAGAATGGGTAAGCCACGCAAATCCCTGGGCAAAGAGGTCTCCACGCGGAGTAAGTAGGTACCTGAGGCAGCAGTGTCCTCAGAAGATTCCAAAATAGCAAGGAACCAAGGGCGGATTTTGAGAAGATAAGTCCCATGATCTTACTAGTGTTTTAAAAGACCATTCAGATGGCTGGGTGGAGAGCAGCCTGTGTGTGTAGAGATGGGGGACCCGTGGAGGAAAGGGGGCCAAACAGGAAGTTGTTGCCACAGCGTCCCGGGGGGAGGATGGAGGCTCGGACTAGCAGCAGTAGATTCGGGGAGGAAGGGCCAGATTCAGGACACATTTTACTGTTAGAACTCAGAGTCCGCCGAGGGACCACATGTCGAGAAAGGAGGATGGTAACTCCCGGGACGTGTGTCTGAGCAAACAGGACGGCCTTGTGGTTCCCTAGGGTGAAGGAGGCTGGAGGTTCTAGAAGAGCTGAGGGGTGGTTCTGAATAGAGGACTAGGTTGTGGCCGTGTTCACCTGCATGTGTGGTCCATGAGGCAGTCGCTTTCAGGGGGAGAGGTGGGGGCTGGAGACACATTTGGGAACTGACCCATGAAGGTGACAATAAAGGCAAGAGGTGGGGAGATCCGGGGAGCGAGTAGCTGTGAGAACCAAGGGCTCTGTGGCCTGGAGCAGTAGGAAGAGAGGACGACAGCAGAGGGACCAGGAGAAGTGGCTGTGAGGAGAGCGTGGTATTTGGCAGTGAAGTTAAGGAAGTGTTTGAAGATGGAGGAAGTGATAGCCGTGTCAAGAGCAGCTGACGGGTTAAAATAAGAACTGAGCAGTGACCGCAGGTTTTGGCAACAGGGAGGTCTAGGAGGTTTGAGGGAGCCAGTGAATGCCATCACTTTCTCCCGGTTTCAGAGCCAACTAATAAACAAAAGAATAAGGCAGATAGAAGATCGAAATGTCACCTTCGTTACTGTTAAAGCTATGATTAGAGAATGTGGCTTATGTCTGTGGGTAAATGAATTCCGTAATACCAAGCCTCAGAACTAGAGGGCCGGGAGCAGTGCATCTTGAACTTTAATGTGCGTAAGTTTCCCCTGTGGGTCATACTAAGTACAGATTCTGGCTGAGGAGGCCTCGGGTGGGGCCTGAGACCCTGCATTTCTCGTAAGCTTCCACGTGAACCAAGAGGTTCCCTGATGGCAGCCGAGGTCCCCAGAGAGAGGGAAGAAGTGGTCAGGCTGGCCATGCCAGGGGCTCCCACCAAACTCAGGCAGTTTCGTTTCTCTCCTGGCCCTCTATGAGGGGCTGGCGGAAGCAGGAATGTTCCAGTAACAGAGCTCACTTCACATGCGAGGAGACATCAGGAGTGCCTCTGCTCTGATGAGGTCGTCGGCGAGTAGAGCATCTTCACGAGTGGTGCGGAAGAAAGCATACCCAGAGTAGGTGCCAGGGAATGTGGGAGAAGAGGTTGAGTGAGTAATACGGGGGGTGGGGGGGTGGGCAAGGGGTCAGGGAGAGGTTTCTATTTTAAAGGAAGGCGATAGCCCAGCATGTGTGTCTGCTGATGGGGATGAATGCACTAGAAGGGAAAACCTGACGGTGGGACGAGACCAGAACAGAGAGTTTGCTGGTGTGATCCCCTGGAGGTGGCCGGCGGGCTTGGAGGGGCATGAGAGGGGAGTTCAGCCCCGGGTCCTGGGGGAGCAGTGCTGTTTATCTGCGGTACCAGGAGGCGACACCAAGTCGTAGGCAGCACCCAGGCAGAGAGCTAAGTGACAGGAGCCTTCGCGGGTCCTCCTGGTCATTGGTTTTTCCCTGAGACTCATTGGCCAACTCTAGGCCATGTCTTCCTGAACTGCACTGGACTTTTTGTTTGAACTGCATTAGTTCTTATAAAGCGGGTTGTCCCTTACATCTGGGCCTCATCCAGGGTCACATCGTCGCCATGGCTCTTGCAAAGCTGACAGTATAGAACATCAGGAGGTCCCGTGGAACAGTACATGTTTATTTAATGCATTACTTTTATATCTGATTTTTCTTGTCCAGTGGACAAGACTCCGCACTTCCACTGCAGGAGACGCGGATTCAATCACTGGTCGGGGAACTAAGATCGCGCATGTCGCGTGTGGCGTGGCCGAAAAAAAAGAGAAAAACTTCTGGTCTCTGCACAGTCTTAAATTTTTAGCTTTTCTGAGCACATCACACGCGGGCACTCTGGCTTTAGAACATATGATCTCTGGGTTTTTTCAAAATCGCTCTTCCTACCCACTCTGCAAACAAGCCATTTGAGTTCAGTTGCAGGAATTATACAGGAAGTGAGTGTCAGAGCTGGGATTTTCAAATCTATCCCAACTAGTATGTTACTTACACACCCTCTTATGTAAGTCAAACAAAGGATTCAGCCTTGGGAGGTTTGCAGAGAAGGGTTGTTTTGTAGAATTCCTCCCCAGGCTTTGATTTGGGATTTGGGGAATTAGAGCAAGGCAAAAAAATTGTGAGGATGAATAGTAATGTGAGTTGACTTAAGCATTAAAAGCCAAGAATTTGAGGGTTTTCTAAAAACTAAAGGTCAGTATGAAGCTCTGGCCCCAGCCAGCCCTGGCTTTACCCCATTCATCTCTGGGGAGAGTTGCCTTTGTCCCAGCCCTGCTCTCCTTGAGCCAGTTTGCTGTAGCTTTCCAACCATGCTGGGAAGCAGTATATTTTGCTGGTTGTTAGCACTTTAACAAAGAAATGAGAAGGCCGTGGTTGTTAGCACTTTAACAAAGAAATGAGAAGGCCGTGTAGCATGTACCATTAGTAATAGAAGAAAGAATTATTGGCTGTTTGATTAGATATTTAAACATGTTTGCCTAAAATGATGCTTTGCAGTGGTAACTTGGGTGTGTCCAGATGTTTAGTCACATTGACTCAGCATAATTTCTCCTTTGCCAAATCTCAGACTAGAGCAATCAATTTGTTCCTGCAGCAAAATCTGATGGTAGGTTTTCTTTGTAACCAAGCCTAACAGAAAAAGGAAGTAGTTGCAGAAAAGTTGAAAGTTATGAGAGGTACAAAGTCTATCTTGAAGAAAGCAATTGTGTAAAGTTCTACCTGTAAAGTTATTACAAGTGCTGCTTGGTCTCCCAAACTAGTGATTGAAAGTTCATTTCAATTTACCTTTCCACTTAAAGCCAACTAAATGTCTCTAACATACAGATATACCCAATTTCTCTGTGAAAATATGTCTCTGTGAGTTTGCATAATTATGGCCTGCTAATCTGATGAGGAAAGAGTGCTGGGCTCGGCCCTAGTCGACTTGGGTTAAAGTTCAGTTCTGCCACTAATTAGCTGAGAAAGTCAACTTCCCTGAGCTGAGTTTCTTGTTTCAAATTAGATAATATTAATAATGGTATCTTAAATCGTACAGTACTTGAAATTCCCAAGGAACTTGCATAGGCATTAGCTTATTTTGATACGGGGAAGGAAGCAGGACGCACGGGAGGCGGTGCCCTGCAGTCAAGGAGCCTGCAGACTGTTAGCCCCTGGAGGATGGCAGGCGTCTGGGGAGGCGCTGCTCTGTTTGCCCTCTTTGAAGCTACTCTGCATTTTCTGATTCTGAGTCTCTCTCATTTGCTACAAGGCTGAAGTACGAAATCCAGTCTCTGAAAGAGAATGAAGATCTCTGGAATGATAAATGCATGATTAAATATAAGACACTTTATATTTTTTCTCTTAAAAAAAATTTAAGATTGTTTGAACTAGTAATTATAACATATATTATTGGGCTTACAATATACAGATAAAAAAAATACATGACAGTAATAGCAAAAAGGGACAGTGAGAAAATGGAGCTATATTGTAGTAAAGTTTCTATATTTACCAGAAATGTTCAATATTAAGCTGAAGTACATTGTAATACATTAAAGATGCATATTGTAATCCCTAGACAACCACTAAGAAAATAACTCAAGATTTAGTTAAAAAATCAACCTAGGGATTAAGGTAGTACACACATATACAAATTAACACAACAGAGCAGTAAGAAGAGAACAAAGGAACAAGGAAGACGTGAGACATAGAAAACATTGCAAAATGGCACCCATATATCCAACCATATCGACAGTATACGTTACACGTGAAATAGACTAAACACCCCAATCAAAATGCCACTACCATTGGCAAAGAAAATAAAAAGCATTCAGATTGGAAAGGAAGAAGTGAAATTGTGTTTACTCACAGATGACATGATTGCAGGTAACAAAGTCTCCAAACAGAAGATCAACATACATATATTAGATGTTTCTGTATACCAATAATGAACAATCTGAAAATGAA